GGAGCTCCTTCAAACTCATTTCTTTGTTCTTTTGACATGGCCTCTCATTCTTTGAGCACTTCCTTCCTTTTTTGGCACAACATGATGTTCCAGCTCATTTGGTACTTGCTCTACTCTGTCCCTGGAATCAGTTATTTCTCCAAAGAGCTCTGGCTCCTTTTAGTGGAGAATGGTATTAGAAACCAAAATATAAGTGTTAGGTGTACATATTGGGGTATTACCGCTCCCAGGACTTCTTAGGGGACAGAGTTAGGGAATATATGTATTCCTTCTATGTAAGACATTTACATCCATATTTATTTTTATATTTATGTATTGAAATTCATATCAGTAGCTGTAATTTCTGTCTAATACCAGAGAGTTCATTCTACTACAGTAAAGCAGTTAGCATACCCAGCATCCTGTATAGTTACCTTTCTTTTTTGTGTGTGTGTGGTAAGAGTACCTAAATCTCCTCTCTTGGCAAATTACCAATATAATATTATTAACTATAGTCCTTATGTTGTACATTGGTCACTTAGTGGCTTTTGGACTGAGTTGTTTGGGAAGGGGCTTCCCATTGTCTTTTGAGAGACAATGAAGTTTTACTCAATTAAAAGTCAGTATTTTATAGGAAGGAACAAAAACCCAAACAGCTTCATATTTTCACTTTTCAGGCAGTCCAAAAGGATTCCTTCTTTGGCTAACATTTAACATAAAATAACACTTAATTTGATTGATAATTATTAGAATCTTAATGTACATTGGTTAATGAGCTGCTCTTGACTGAGGAAATTAGAAAACAAATAATAATTTACATCTATAGAATAACATTCATTTCTCTTCTAGCTCTTCCACCAAAGCCACCTAAGCCAGTAACGTCAGCAGTTACAAATGGAATGAAGGACAGTTCTGTTTCTCTTCAGGATGCAGAATGGTACTGGGGAGATATTTCAAGGTAACTAAAATGCTACTACAATTGACTACAGTTTTTTAAAAAAACATTTTTGAGAATTAGTAAACTAAAACATTTTAACA